ACTGACTATTTACATGTTCAACCCGATCAACATGCCCCCTCAACCGTCATCTGAACTACTTACTGACCAAAGGTGGTCTCCGAGCTGGGGTTGTTGATTCCAATAGTGTCGGCACCACCAGAGCCCGACCCAGAACCAGGCGTGCACGCCCTCCACGCAACATGAAGCTGCTGGGTGAAAGCAACAGTAGCATCATCGTTGCTCATCTCACCCGCCTGGTCGGACTTCTTGTTCGTGAGCGCAATCCTGTTGTTGATGTTGAGAATGCCGTTCTGGCCACAGGGCGACCAGATGGTTGCCGTCGTCTCTACACTATCTTGCTTGGTATAGACTTGGCCGTTGAGAAGGGCACCGCCGCCGACGGCTGACATGCGCGTGGTTTGCGTTTTGCCGGCATCTTGCGAGAAGTAGTAGGTTGTGATGAAGCTTCCGGTCACACCTTCATCAAGACGTGCCCATCCATGATAGGTGGCGTCAACAACAGCGTATTGGAAGCCTCCTGGGTACTTCAAGTTGAGGTGAAGTTGACAGTTCTTGCTTCGGTCTGTTGGAGAGCTGTTAATATCACCTTTTGCCCAGGACATACGACTTCGAACTTGCCTGCTGGGGTGGTACCGGGACCGATGTATGTCTGGAATTGGTCGAATCCATAGGTCACGACCTGTTAGTGTGAGCTGAAGTTCCTACTGGGTAGATCCTCCATAGTTTTAGAGGGCGTAGTGTAAAGAGTTGCTGTAGACGAGATGATGAAGTAGGATTGCATCATCCCCTCAAGCTCAAAAGGGATGTATTGGGGTGGTACGTACAGTCTTGTCGGTTGAGGTACTGGTAGAGACGGAGCCTTGAGGGCAGCCGTTACCAGAGTACGTCGTGTCAACAATAGTGATCTGTTCTGGAGAAGGAGCATCACCAGTAGTTGACTGAGGGACTGGGTTGGCCAAAGCGAGGACCGGAAGGAGGAGGGCGATTTTGGCATGCATGTTTGCTATTGCTGGGACAAGGATCTCTCGGAGTGATCAGGCGTTGTAGTGAATGTTGATAGTGAAGGCTGTTGATCGATGATGGTACTCAGCATGACGGGGAAAGAAGCATTCTTATACTTCTTGACCAACGATACTCGCATGCAATTTCGCGGTTGTAGACCCATACACTGTCCAGAACCTTACCATGCCGCCTCACATACATTGCAAGATGATCGAAATGATGGTTCGAGGGTATAATACCTAGGTAGTCTTGATGCAGCTAGTTTGGCTTCCAAATTTAGTCCCAGAAGAAGTTCTCCGGTAATAAGACCACGGTATCTAAACAATGGCCTGGGGTTCTCAAGATGCTGATTAGATTGCTTCCGCCAAAAACACGACTTGACAGTATGGCAAATACGAAATCATGACCAAGAGCATCCGAAGACGGAGTAGCTGAGCACTTTACGCAGGTGGTGATCTGCGTTGCAGTAGGAAGTCTGCAGTGGTAGTGACCCTGCGTTGGTAACGTATCATAAGGGTTCAAGAAAACTGAGAAGCATTATAGTGAGAATACGAAAAGCTTGGATGGCATATTGATTGACATGTTGCTTCCGAGGAGGCTCTGGACCTGCATGACAAGGCTCCGATGCTGTTTTAACGCGCTTAAAATAGTCGTCGACAACGTCGAGATTGCCTTGCCGCGACCAGGGTGCAATCGAAGATCAGGCGATGCGTGACCGGCAACAAGACGGACAAGATCGGATAGTGTAGCCATATCCAGGTCCCGAGATTCTGGGGTATTGTGCTTACAGAACATGGTCTCGACTAGTATGCCATAATTTAACCTGCAATATGTATACTCGGTAAGCGGGTCGCGTAATTGGGTAATATACGATCTGGTAAATCCACGCTCTTCTTTCCCGATCAATATGCAGGGTTTACCCGGGATCACTGGCCACAAGGTGACCTAAACTTGCGGTTTCAAGAGGAAATCTGTATGCAGGCAGAGTAGAGAAACCTCCGCTTGCTCTGGTTTTCTTCAATCTCCTTTCAAATGAATGTACATTAATCGACCTTTCGTGCGTTTCGCCTCGCCTCATACCTCGGCTTGTTATCAAGACTTCGCCTCCGGTTAATTCGGTATACGAAGTCACAACGCTTGTCCGCACTGCTGTGTTATGAAGCTGCTTAGGTATGGGCATAAGTTCATACGTCTTTCGCCCACCGATTACATATTGATAACTTTGGAGACAAAACGAAAAAGTGTCGAGAATCCAGATGATCGCCAGAGCTAGGTGGTCATTCAAACTTCTACGTGGATATGCGGGAAGAATCACTAGAGGAAGATTGTCCAAAGCATCGAGCAGAGGATGATGTGTGGTTCCCAAGAAATGGATTAAGTCAAAGAACCTAGAACATTCTGCTCAAGTCTTTGCTAAAATCTGCAAACAACCCAGAAGTCTGGAGTGTTATCAAGCTTGCGTTTGGCCCATGGACAACAAGAGATGGAACTTGCAAGAATTGTTTGGGTATGTATTGCGACGCGGTAACAAGTCTTTCTTCAAAATTTGGCTGCATGATCCAGGAGAAACGATCGAACCAACCTGATCGTCGAAAGAGCTCAATTTGCGTGTTGTACCTAAAGTCTATCCTATTGCGAAAATGTGCACTTTTTTCTAGCTCGTCGACCTAGAAATCGAGACGTATGTACTTTAAAGATGTACACATCGCTGCATTTCAATGGTCTTTGGAATCAGAGAATGGCGATTATCTTCGAAGCATGCTCATCCTTGTTTCGCTACCGGGCGGTGGTTGCTGTCGCTGGCTCACTTCGAATGAGTATTTGGATGCATCTACTGACACTAATCGGATCTCGGATGTAACCCCTGACCGAGGTGGCTTGAAGTGGCTCAGGTGGCTCAGGTGGGTTCAGCTCTCGGAGTTATTTTCACCATTTCAAGGGCGAATGGCTCGATTTGGGATGGCGTCCTGTCTCAGACTCTGCAAAGGTCTGGATCCTAACCGACCAAGCGCATACGGCTTCGCGACATGAGTCGCAAAGCCCACACAAGATCAATGGCGAGCAAATGCGTGGTACCCTATGGTTTGACCGATGTACTCAGCAGCACATCTGAAAAGTGTCGAAGACGCAAGCCAAGATGGTAGGCAGACGGACTGACGTCAAGCGACAAGTGACAGCGAGCGGAGATGAGGGGTGTAAACATTGGCAATACACCTGTGACATGCGAGTGATTTTAGTCCGAGGTAGTGACGGAGAACAGCCGTTGTTGACGCTCAGTAGCGGTGGCAGGTGAGGGCAATGATGAGGCTGAGCAATGCTAGTCAAACCTTGTGGCGCTAGCGAGATCGACCGAGCCGTTTAGTCTCCACTCCGCAGGTTCCGGAGCGATTCCGCACCAGTTTTTCCTTCGCCTCCTGGAACTGACACTACAGGATTAGCAACAGTTGTACCGGATCGTCGATGATTCTGCCAGTGCACAACGACTCTCTGTCTTGAGGAGAGCTTATCGAAGGCTTGCGACTAGCAACTCTCGAAGGCGTTGTGGGGTAGACCGACGCCTTCCGACGCCTTGGATAGGCGCGTGGGTAAGACCCGTCGTGCCACAACCCACAAAGACAGATCGAGCCTTGAGAAGATGAAGTTCGCCGTACATCGTCGATTCTACACACTGGCCCACGAGACTGGGATGCATCGCACGTAGGCCGGTGTGTATGCGGGTGCGCGAGATCTGCCGGGCACCAGTTAAGGAGATTCGGGCCCCTGAGGGTCCCATGGTACGCAGTCTCTCCCTGCATGATCTCTGCGACGGCCATGGCGAGCATCTTTACGCGAGCACCCACATCGTCACAACTCCAGGAAAAGCCACACGCTAGCCTGGCTATCTAGCCCCTGGCCGAGAAAACTCACTTTGCTGCTCGCACGTATCTGTCGCGTATCCACAGACACCGGGCGGCGTGGTAGTCGCGACCACAAGACTCCACTTGAGGAGCCACAGAATGCTCGCGTCATTAATCGCCATGTAGCATCCATGTGCAAATCAAGCGTTGCGATGCAAGTACCAATGCTTAGCTGAAGATCTGGAGGCTTACATCACCTCATCTCGGTATGCAGTACTGCGACAGTTTCCGTCGTAGGCAACTCAGTCTGCGGGTCTTTCTTCAACCTCGTTGTGGAATGTTCCTTAACGGGCGCGAACACAGCAATAGACAAACAATCGGGCCAAGTAAGGCTGGAGCTTCAACACTACTCAAACGTTCGCGCAGACAGTGTACCCCTGATGAGCTGATCGGTCCCTTTGCGAGCGCAAGTCTGCTTCCCTGAAGGTGACTATTGACATAGTAAACCGCGGACGCCAAAGCTAACGAGATAAGTGGGGCTCTAGAACTTCTTGGACTGATCAAAAATAACCTAAGCTTTCGGTTACAGACCCGCCTTGACGATGCCGCAAATCCTCAGGTTGCCGATACTTGGAGCAGCGGGATCGAAAGTCTGTTGATCTACAATGGAGTATCGTCATGGAGGCCTACACACAATCGCGATCTGAAAACCCCCAATTTTGCTATCGATCTCCCTGCTTCGAGATAAGAAAAAGATCCATGACTTGCAGTTATCTTGTCCCGATTTAGACTGGCATCATAAACAATGGCCTCTCATTGGCTCTGGCCCTGGTACCTGCATGTGCTCTGCACGTTCCCGGCGTTGGCGACCATGACATTTCATCCGGAGCTAGGCTAAAGTTTGGTGAACTATTGTTTCCAGGTACTGCCGCCAACTCTTTCAGGAAGACAGGTCGAACTTACCGGCCATGTCTCGTCTGTTTTCGTCTCCACTCATGACATAGATCTCAAATCAGTACTATCACCGAGGCAAAGACCGCATGAGTATGTGAGAGTCGATGTATATAAGAGCCACCGGTACACTGGTCAATAATTCATCATCAGCTCATCAGCATCGGTCTTTCACTACTACTTTCACTACTACACTACCTTCGCTACTTTACCATCCAATCGTTCAATATGCGTTACTCCCTCTTCCTTGGGGCTGCTGCCCTCGTAGCCGCTTCTCCAGCGCCTCAGGCTTTCGATGTCAACCAGTTCAACGCCTTGCCCAACAACGTTGCTCAGGGCCCAAAGGCTGGTGTCACTGCTGAGAGCGCTTACAACCAGGCTCAGGCTCAGAACACCGCCGCTGCTGCTGCCACTGGCGTTGCTACTGCCCAGCAAGCAAAGAGGAGCGTCGGTGCCCAGCTTGAGGCTCGTGACCCTACCTTCTGGTGGAACTGGAACCAGGCTCAGAACAACCAGCCTGCTCCTGCTCCTGCCGTTACCCCTGCTCCGGCTACCACCGCTGCGCCTGCCGCCAACCCTTCTTCTACCAACCTTGCACCATCTTCGTGCTCCCCGGTTAGCTGGACCAACACCTTCGCTTTCACCTCAGACCCCGCCTGCGCTACTCAGATCGAGGTCGGCACCTACTGTGGTTTCATCAACCCTGAAGACCCATGTGCTGCTCAGCCCAACGCCTACGGCCCACCAACCACTCCCGACACTGCCGATGCTTTCAAGAAGAACGAGGTTTACCACAAGTTGGCTACCTCCGCTAAGACTCCTTCCGGTTACGAGTCTTCTTTCGTAGACCTCAGCGCCTCCGTTGAGGGCAGCGGTTACCTCGGATACTACGAGCTTACCAGCTACGACACTGCTGCTTGCTCCGCCAAGTGTGACTCTACCTCCACCTGCACTGGTTTCAACCTTTACATCGAGCGTGACCCCAAGTGGAACCCGCGCCAGTGCTCTTGCGACAAGCCTGACTCCGTTACCCGCTTCAAGTGCACTCTCTGGGGACAGGATGTCAAGAAGGAGTCTGCTACCAACGTCGGTCAGGGCCAGGATGGATTCGAGGTTGTCATTGTCGGCTCCAACGGTTACAACAAGGCTACCTACAACCCTCCTACTCCTCCTTCTTGCAGCAAGCCCCAGTCTTGCGGCCACAAGCTCCACAACCAGCAGCCATTCTGCATGGGTCAGACTACTTTCCCCGGTCCTTTCGATCCTTCCCTCTGCGCCGCCTACGCCCAGAAGCAGAACGAGGTCAACCGCAAGCACGGCATCATTGGCATGTGGCTCTCCATGTTCGGCATGAACAAGGGTGGCTGCGTTCAGTTCCAGGCTGCTTACCTCGAGAAGGAGGGCAAGGGTTTCGGTACTCACTGCCGCCTCTTCACCAAGAAGTTCACCCCTGCCCAGGCCAACCTCGACATCTCCGTCGGAGGTTCTTCCCAGTGGGGTTGCCAGAAGTCTTTCACCTGGGACGTTGATGTCAACGCCAGCTTCAACTGGGGTGGCTGGTCTTACTTCAAGGCCAAGCGCGACGAGTAGATACTTGTTGCACTTCCAACAACAAGAACAACGACTTATGTCTGCATCGCATGGGCGCATTAAATTTCGAGACTGTGACGACGATGGTGGACCTCATGAGTAATACTCTTTTTCTCTTCTGTAAATAACCGTTTCTATTTGGCTTTACCTTGAGCGTCAGCTCGCCGCATAGTCACTCCTTAGTATGATTTTAGCATCTCTGTAGTCGTAATGTAACAATATGTGTTTTTTTGAACATACCTTTGCCTTGCTTTCTCCACAGTGACCTCACAATATGGATACAGTTTTCACGGCATGCTTTCGCACCTGTCCTGATAATTTCTTCACTCATGTGAATAGTAGATGGATTCCAGGCAGGCTTCTAGTGTGTAACAATGGTAAAGAAAGGATGCGTGTCACTTACTGCGGCGAATCGGCTACCCTCGCTGTCGCGACCCCAGCGCAAGGCGGTAGTGGACGGAAACTAGGATCCCAAGCGCTCCAAATTGGGAAATGGACCATACAGTTGGGAGCCGCCCCACAGCGCGTGATCGCCTGCTATGTGCGGGGAGACCTTCATCCCTTAACAAGCAGACACTCAGATAATCCCAAGGCAAACTTGGGACGACGTGAATGCTCCTAAATAGGGTATGTCGCAGCTGATGGATGAAGTATGCGATTTTTTGGCTTCGTACATTGTCAGAACAGGCGTCAGAGATAGTGCATCGCGATGTGGCTCGTGGACTTGGTAAACCTTGGGGTTCATGCACGGGGAGTGGAGGAGTGCGGGGAAACTGCACCGGTGGTGTTTAATTCGGCAGAACACAACACGAGGGAAACGCGGCCCAGAGGTACCGCCTTATTGTACCACCATGTCTCGCAAGCCGGTGGCCTTTCTGGCGTTCACTCACGCTGCTTTCTGGCATTATTTCCAGCTGCTAACCCTATCTTCTTTTGGAAGAAACTCAAGAATCGCTGGCAGATGCGGGTACCTGACTTCCCCCTTTGCTCATTGTCATTCGAGACGGCATGAACTGCGTCGCTGGCTGTAGGGCGCTTGCCCTTCGCCCGCAGCGGGGCAGCTTACTTGCTACCTTGAAGCCGTGTGCTTCTCTCTCTACATTGAAATCAACACCAGTGCTGGGACGTGGAGATGGTTCAAAACATACTTTGGCTACCACGAGCCTTCGGAACCTTACCCGCCCGCGCCCGCTGTCCCTGCAGCAGCATGTCTCGCATGTTACGGCTGTTGTGCGGTATGCATCCGGGCAGGCATCGGAGCCGCACGACGAGGAGTTACCTAACACCCCGCCGTTCACCGCAGGCCCTTACTCCAACCTCACTATTGGAGTACCCAAGGAAAGCTATCCTGGCGAGAGGCGGGTAGCAATCACGCCACAGGTAACGTTTCCCTATACTGACTAGATGCGAGACATGAGCTTACTTTGCATATTCGACCTCGTAGAATGTTAAGCTTCTACTCAAGAAAGGCTTCTCCCGCATCTTGATTGAGCGTGGTGCTGGCAGTGCCGGTACTTTTACTGACGAAGCCTATGAGCAAGCTGGGGCTCAGACTGTGGATCGCAGAAATGTCTTCTCCGAGAGCGACATTTTGCTCAAAGTCCGAGCTCTCAGTATTGATGGAAATGATAGCGAAGTGGACGCTATTCGAGAGGGAGCTACTGTCATATCCATGCTCTACCCAATGCAGAACAAGCCGACCGTGGAACGAATCGCAACCCGAAAGGCTACTGCATTCGCCATGGACATGATTCCGCGGATTTCTAGAGCGCAAGTCTTCGATGCACTATCATCCATGGCGAACATCGCTGGTTATAAGGCAGTCTTGGAAGCTTCTAACCATTTCGGACGTTTTCTAACTGGACAGGTAACGGCTGCTGGAAAAATACCTCCCTGTAAAGTTCTAGTCATTGGCGCTGGTGTTGCAGGCCTGAGTGCCATTGCAACGGCTCGACGAATGGGTGCCATTGTCCGTGGTTTCGACACACGATCCGCAGCGCGTGAACAAGTCCAATCTTTGGGTGCGGAATTCATCGAAGTCGACATCTCAGAAGATGGTTCCGGAGCTGGCGGCTATGCCAAAGTCATGTCCAAGGAGTTCATCGAAGCAGAGATGAAACTCTTCTATGAACAGTGCCGAGAGGTTGATATTGTCATCACTACAGCCTTGATTCCAGGCAAGCCCGCACCGAAACTAATCACCAAGGCCATGCTCGGCGCGATGAAACCTGGTTCCGTTGTCGTGGATCTAGCGGCCGAAGCTGGAGGTAACTGCGAAGCTACAGAACCTGGAAAACTGGTAGATTATAAAGGGGTATCAGTCATTGGTTTGTCACCATGATAGTTCCGTGCGAGTCAGTACTAACCTCGAGCGCAGGTTATACTGACCTTCCGTCTCGCCTACCAACCCAATCGTCAACTCTCTATTCAAACAACGTCACCAAGTTCCTGCTTTCACTGACCCCAAAGGACAAGAAGGAGAAGTACTACGATGTTGATCTTACCGATGAAGTCACTCGCGGTGCTATTGTCACTTATAACGGCAAGATCCTTCCTCCAGCTCCACGTCCAGCTCCTCCACCAGTCCAAGCCAAGCCTGCACCGTCGCCTGCAGACCAGGTTGCAAATGCTGTTGCGCTAACACCATGGCAGACCCAGTCTCGGCAAGTAGCCAGCGTCACAGGTGGCATGACTGCTGCTCTGACTTTGGGTAAATTTACAGGCCCGCTGTTCATGTCTAACGCTTTTACGTTCGCACTAGCCAGTCTGATTGGATACCGAGTGGTCTGGGGTGTTGCGCCTGCTTTGCACTCTCCGCTCATGAGCGTAACGAATGCCATCTCCGGAATCATAGGTGTTGGCGGCTTGTATGCCATGGGTGGTGGCTACCTTCCTGAAACCATCCCACAAACGCTTGGAGCCTTGTCGGTTTTATTGGCTTTCGTTAACATATCGGGAGGATTCGTAATCTCGAAAAGGATGCTGGATATGTTCAGACGCCCTACTGACCCCAAGGAGTATCCCTGGCTGTACGCAGTCCCCGCAGCACTCTTTGGTGGTGGCTTCATCGCAGCAGCCTCTACCGGTATGGCAGGTCTGGTCCAAGCAGGCTATCTTGTCAGCAGCATACTCTGCATGACTTCGTTATCAGGACTTGCATCTCAGACGACTGCGAGGCGAGGTAACATGTTGGGCATACTCGGTGTATTCTCTGGATTCCTTGCGTCTTTAGCCGCTGTCGGCTTCACTTCCGATGTTCTCACTCAATTCGCCGGCCTGGCTACAGTAGGCACTGTCGCTGGGCTGATGATTGGTCGGAGGATTACGCCTACCTCGTTACCCCAAACAGTCGCCGCGCTCCATTCTGTTGTCGGTCTCGCCGCCGTACTCACAAGCATCGGTAGCGTCTTGGGCCATTCTGGAGATATTTCAACCCTTCACATGGTTTCTGCCTACCTTGGTGTTCTCATCGGTGGTGTTACATTCACTGGGTCCATTGTCGCTTTCCTGAAGTTAGCCGCCAAAATGAGCTCGAAACCTTTGGCGTTGCCCGGCCGACATCTCATCAATAGTACACTGCTTGGGGCGAATGTAGCGACAATGGGTGCTTTCTTGACCTACGCACCGGGTGCACCTCTAATCGGCGCCGCATGTCTCCTCGGCAATGCGGCGCTCTCTTTTGTCAAAGGCTACACAACCACTGCTGCCATCGGTGGAGCAGATATGCCAGTTGTCATCACCGTCCTGAACGCTTATTCTGGGTTCGCACTAGTGGCTGAGGGGTTCATGTTGGACAACCCCTTGCTTACGACAGTTGGTGCTCTGATTGGAGTATCAGGATCGATCCTTTCCTACATCATGTGCGTAGCCATGAACCGGTCACTGACCAATGTACTCTTTGGCGGCATAGCTCCCACGGTGCAGTCGGGCTCCAAGATCGAGGGCGAGATAACGAAAACAACATCCGAAGAAACAGCCGAAGCTCTGGTCAACGCAGAGAGCGTCATTATCGTAGTCGGTTACGGCATGGCCGTGTCTAAAGCACAGTACGCGCTTGCGGACTTTGTGAAAAACCTACGTTCGAAAGGTATAACCGTACGCTTCGCCATCCATCCTGTCGCGGGACGAATGCCTGGACAATGTAACGTCCTTCTCGCTGAAGCCTCTGTTCCATATGACATCGTCCTTGAGATGGATGAGATCAACGACGACTTCCCAGACACGGACGTAACCCTCGTTATCGGTGCGAACGATACAGTGAACCCCATCGCACTAGAGCCTGGTAGTGCAATCGCAGGTATGCCGGTACTGCACGCGTGGAAGAGCAAGCAGGTTGTCATCATGAAGAGAGGCATGGCCAGTGGATACGCCGACGTGCCGAACCCGATGTTCTTCATGGAGAACACAAAGATGTTATTTGGTGATGCTAACGAAAGCTGCAATGGTATGTCAACTCCAGATCACACCAGGACTTGAAAACACTGCTAATATGATATCAGCTATCAAACGCGCGCTTGAAGAGAAGATCAAGGGGCTATAGATAGACTTTTGCATGAAGGAACAGAGTACTTGAGCAATGGGTAGCTGTATGTAGAATGTCGGTTGGAGAGGGTACCCGGATAGTCCTAGATAACGAACATGGTTCTTGGCGCGCTCGTATTTTTTGAACCGCAGTCTCACTATGCTGTTCTTTAGGTTCATAGTTCGCGTTGGACCCACGACAAGAAAATCCAGTCGAGTCGAAAGCGGGGCAAGCAGACCCCTGTCAAGCCACGGCGCGCAACGCGTCCAACCGCAGGTGCCGATGACGTACATCGTAACCCATGTAACACCCTCCAAGTCTGGGAAACTTGCAATCGTCGTTTCGACGTATAACGGCTGCTAAGCTCCCTAGCTCTTTCCTGACTACAGATACACATACAAACAGCATCCACAACTAGATACACAGCAACAGTAGGTTGGGGTCCTCGTATGCTATGGAATTGTCTTGCTAACGACCACCAGGACCAAGCAATAACGATCGCAACCATGTCTCTTCCTCTCCTTTTTACGCTCCCGCCCTCCAACCGCCATGAATTTCTTCTTCTAGACACATCTTCCAAGATCACGTTGAAATCGCTCAACGCACAAATCACTTCTACGATCTCCTCGAGCCCTAACTGCGCCGAATGTACGTCGAACCATACATTACACGCCAGACTGCACATTGTACCTGACTAACAACAACCTTGCAGTCATGGCGAAGCACAAGGCTGCTGACGGCCCCAAAGAGACGATTCAAGAATTCAAGATTCACTGGGATACCAAGACAAGAGATGGCAAGATATGGCCCGAATATACCGTAGTGACGGATGAGAACTTCCCAGCGATACTGGAATTGCTCAAGGCGAATCCAGTCATGGGTGTGCTGGAGATCAAGCTGGGTAGTTCGGACTAGATTAGCGTAGGACGAGCAAGCATGAACATTCAGTAGCAATGAAAAGGAAAGAGCCAATAATCTGTTTGAGAATCTGATTTTTCGTATACATTACGATGCGACGACGGGAGCATTGCTCAAACGTGGTCGTACTTCGTTACACCCAAAAGCCTACATTCAATACATATGAAAATCTTGAACACCATTGGTGTCGAAGTATGCGCTGGAGGGTAGCCCAGCGTCGAGTAAACCAAGTGGAGGGTATCCGTGTCAAAAGCAACCCATGAAAACGCCGATGTGAAAGCAATGCCGTCGATGCTATACCCTTTGGGTTCCTGCAAGATATGCCGAGAGCGCCGTGTTTGTAGTGTGACCTCGAAGAAACAATACAGCACAAGATGAATTAAACATGTACGCGCCGTAACCACGTCACTTGGGCGACTTATCCGTCGGCTCGGTGATCATTTGCTGCCAATGAACGAGATCGCGACTCAAAAAGTCCATCATCTGAGTTGTGCTCAGATTCTTGAACTTGGCCAGGTCTGTATCCTCGTCTTTCTGCTGCTCTTGAGCAGGCTCGCCGTTCGTTGTGGGTTGAACAGCCGGAGCCAGACTTCCATGCTTCTCTCCAGTGGCCATCTCAACCTGTCGCTGCGCTATGTAACTTTGCATAGCTCCAGCCGGCCTTCGTATGTCGTTCCAAGACAGCTTCTGCAGACGCCAGTTCTTCGTCTTGGCAGGCTTGTGTCCGGTTGTCCCGTCACTGCTATCGTGCCCATTGGTCGCTCCGTTTGTGACATTCGCTTGAGGAGATTGTGCAACGTCGTTCTTGGGTGAAGTGCCGTTGGTCGCAGGTATGGTATCGCGAGAGTACTGATTTCGACCAAGGCGACCGCGAGCCTTTTGTGGTGGACGTCCACCTCTTCGCGGAGCAGGCACAGGCTTGGGTTCTGCCATAGGAGTGTCGATAACTGTCGCCTCAGTGGCAGACGGAGGCATAGCGGGCTCTTCTACGGCAGGTGCGGGACTGGGTTCGTGTTCCTCTATATCTGAAAATCGTTAGCTAACGTTTCATTTCCTCATTGGCGATAGCTTACCGTCCCCCTTTCTTCGCTCTGCACGCCCTTTTCGTCGATTCGCGGCTTCGTTTCGGGTACTTTCGCGCTCCTTTTCACGTTGTTCTTTTTCGCGTTGACTCTTAGCGGCAGCCCCACGTGGTTTCTGTTTCGGAGCGGAGGCTCTTGTGCTATCGTCTTCGGATTCTATCACTGGCGAATTGCTGGGAGAGCGAGAACCAGTCCGCTGTCGTTTGATTTCCGGCTTTGTCCTGTTACAAACTTGTTAGCTAGATGTCTCCAATGGCACATGTAGCAGCAAGCAGAACTCACTCTTCACTGTCGTCACGGCTCCGCTTCTTTCGATTGCCGTTCTCCGAAGCTGTACCGCCCTCATGCTTGCTTTCTTCGAGTACCTTCCGTAGCACCTCATCTTCATCGTAAGCAGCTCGGCTATTCATCGTCGATCGGCGCTTGCCAAAGGAATCTACGCTCGCCCTGTTGTTGCGGTCCTTGTCTTTGCCTGGATGCCCATCTGATTCCTTGGAAACAGACGATTTGCGATTCTTGCCGTGCTGTTGATCGTAGACGGGGAGGTATCTAGAGTACTTTTGCCTATGGAAACGATTCCGTTAGCATTGTGTAAACAAAGCGATTGTGACGCCACGAGGATGCTCAATGGATCGGATGGGGTGGCGCGATACAGAAGAAACCCATGATGGGGTATAGTGATGCAAAGAGCGCGCGAATGAATGCAAGTACATACCCTTTGGGACTTGTTGTGACCTTGTGGAGGTCTTTTCTGCACTCTTCGCAAAAGTACTCGTCTGGGCTGGCAGCTTCGTCCATGATGCCTACACAGCCTCCGTGTTGCCAGACCTTACAGACATCGCACTGAATGAAGAGCCCGCCAAGTTCATCGGCTTGAGCGTCGGGGTCCACGAGAGCGGACATGGACTTGGGAGCATCCGATGGCGGACCTGGGTACTCTTGGTAGCCACACACGCATCGGGTGACCTCGTCCTCTTCCGCTATCTCATCGTCGAGCTCGTCGTCGAGTTTGGCCGATTCGTTCTCATCATTGTCATGCTCGCGTGTTCGTCGGCGGGTCAGAGGCGGGTCAGGCTGGACGTCATGAGGCGCTTCTTCGGGCTCTTCCGAGGAGAGCGAGTGTGGGGTTGATGACTTTGGCGGCGATGTCTGTTTTGCGTTGACTCTCGACGCACGATCGGTGCGCGCTGATGAGACGGAGGATGAGGAGTTGCTGTGTGTTGCGACGCTGGGTGGGGGCTGGGTGGTACGAGCCCGCGATGATCGTCGCGGCGACATTGTTCGTGCAAGCTGTCGCGGTTTACGAATGCAATAGCTGAGCAGTGTACGAGCGGGAGGGGGAGCTGAGGAGCTGGGCGATGTCGGATGCGCTTGGAAGGGCGCCCGAGCGAACTAGATGAGAGGCGGGAGCGAGGACTACAAGGAGGTGGCAGCCAACTGCGACGTGACGGGAGCGATACAAGTCAATGGCAGGGCCGTCGCTATCGCGCAATGACGGCGAACCCGTCGGCGACACAGGTGTTTGTAGGAGCGCAACGGTGACGGTGCAGGTGCGGAGACAGCGGGCCAAAAGCTCCACGAGCTTCAGAGAGCGACGACGGGATGGGTTGACGACTGGAAAAGAATGCCGAGGTGCGACAGGAACATGATATGGCTTCAAGTGGGCGTCTGGAGCGTTGGACCGGGACAATGCTGTGGGAGTGACCGAGCTGCCAGGACTCGATTTTACTCCTCACGCTCTAGCGGGCGGACGCGAACCTGCGTCAATGGAGTGAAACGTCAGCCGGACAAAATCACGTGACGTGAGTTCATCCGGCCCTTGCAGCCCTGGCATTGCGGATCCGTGCGCGGAAAAGGCCGTCGACGACTTTGGACGCGTAGCAGCGAGAGAGACCAAACACCCACGTCTGCAGCAAGAGTACGTTGAGCGCTTCGAGGAGGGAATCGGTGAGGGGCACACAAGGGTGCTGGCAGAGGTTTCGATGGTGACAGAAGTTGGCGATCCGCTGCCGATGAGGCAGTCGCGCTAGCTCCCTTTCGCGAGAGGGGTCCCGCCGGCTGCATGCATCGTCAGTCGCCTCGATCCATCACCATGAAGCGTGCAGGACTGTCTTTACAATCTGGCCAAGCATCATGATGCACCGCTCGCTCTGTCCTGTGCACCATATACAAGGGGGAAGCTGGACAGGTACGAAACAACAGGCTCTACCTTGCATTCTACCTTAGCTCCCAACAAGCAGACTTATAGATAGAAAATCCAGAAGTCTACGATGCTGTTAATCTTTATATCTATATAGCTTATAAATGCTTGATTGTAGCAGGAAGGTATATGCTGCTTTAAAGGAATGTTTACTTTTCTCTGATCATGTTTGGGTCCAGCCGAAAGCAGAAAAGACTGCGAATAGGCGCTGAGCGGCGAATTTCTTGACGCAGACCAGGAACCCGGGATACCATTTGAGAAAAGCAAGCGGCTCGATTGTCCACAATATATTGATATCACATTATCTTCATCAATGAAATCATACATTAAAATTTGTTCGCTAATTGTACAGCAACTGTTTCAACTTCGCACCATGATCACTGACCTTCGATGATCTCCTTGTGCGTACCAGCTTTGGGAGCACCGTTCGTCTTGTTCTTCTCAGCGTACTTTGCGCTGATGCCAGTCATACCATTCGCGACCTTGTTGTCCTTGGACTTAGCCATGCCGTTGTGGGTTCCGTTGAATCGGAGCCCGGAGATACCAGGGTAACCCTGAACACCAGTCGCCTTCTCCATGCGTGAAGCAATGTCTTCAGACACCTCCCTGAAGATGGCAATCTGGCGCTTGATAATCTCCTTGTCGGTCACAGTCTCCATATGACCAGAGATGTTCTTGATGAAACGCTCCTTAGCGCCATCATCGAAGACCTTCTCCCACAACTTGCGCGGTGCGTTGAAGTCCTCTGGGCGGATCTCGGACAAGAAGGTGATCGCCTCACCTGTGAACTTTCCGTGAAGCTTGTCAAGGTCGACAGT